AGATTGTCAAAAAGCCTGTGTTTTTAGGGTTATTAACAAAGTTTGTGTACTCAGACCAGTAATATTTGGGGTCACAAGTTTTTGCAATGCATATTTTGTGKGTCAGAAGATAAAAAGTTTGGGAACCACTGTTCTAAAGTGCTATGTATTCTAAGACTGCAAATTAGCTGAAGCTAGATGTCTTATATAAATCATATTTTCCCATTTTTAAAAGGCAAGGTATATGTATTGTCCCTGTTAAACAAGCATTAACAAACAAATGTTTTGTTAGTTTTGTTGTTGTTGTGTTCAACATCACAAACCTGTTGGTCCAGCGCTTGTGTATGCACATACAGTATATTCTCTGTCTGTGTCTCCCACTCTGCTGGTATTTCAATCTCAGCTTCCTCACTTTCAGGATCTTCATCTGACTCTCTTTCTAKCTCTGTGCCCTCTCTCTGAATATCTCTCAAGTCCTCCAGATCACTCTCTGAGAGGAAAACACAACACTTCACCAACCGAGCAGTTTACTAACATTTAGGTTGCAACTCAAGCAGGTTAACTAGCATTAGCTAAGCATGAAATCAACTCAAGCTGACGATAACGCCTGTTGCTGTTCTGACAGGCTGCTATTAAAGTTCATAAAGTTAGCCAACAACAAGAATTCTTACCTTGTAAMAAYACAATATTGTTTGTTGTGATAATCGTGGATGGTAACTTCACGCTCTTCTTTTTCACCACAAACTGGCCGTTGTTTAAAGTGGTGAAACGCACTAAAGGATGTGACTACAATGTTGAACCACTCGCATTGGTTCYGCCTTTTGTATCGACGCCGGAGGGGGTGGGGGCCACAGGCAGGTCCAGACAAAGTATTACGGGGGCACTGGCCCCTGCTGGACCCACCCCAGAACCGCCAGTGTAATGGAAAGGGAAAGTAATATATTTAGTATTTTTATTTTAAAATTTTATTAGCCACCAGTTGAATAGCCCTACTTTAGAACTTTTGTCTTTCCGCACTGATTTTCTGCTTTAGAACCTTGTTGTTTTGAATTGTAGYGCAGTTGTTTGAATTGCATTTATTCAGAGAAAATTATCTCTAATGTTTTATATTTCAGAGTGGGGTTTTTTCCCCTTTGTAGGCCCTGGACCAGCTTCATCAGTATATAACACAATATGTGGGGACAGGAAGTTTCTCAAACAATTCTGCAGAATGAACAATTTGTCTCATTTCATGTTCATCAAATTGATTTCAGTGTTGGAGGATCCATCCATCCWTTTTCTGTACACGCTTCTTCCTTTCAGGGTYGCATGGGTCACTGGTGCCCATGTCCAGCAGTCACTGTGCGATGGGCGGGGTACACCCTAGACAGGTCGCAAGTCCATCACAGTGTTGGAGGATATTTAAAGGCTTTTCCCATTTGTGCATAATTATAAAGAAATTATTTAGTTCTGGGATCAATTGCTTCAAAAGAAATTGTTCAAATTTGTTTATATTGGTTCCAATAACTTATATTTACTAAAATATAAGAAACAGATTTACTGTAAAACTGATGATATATATTTTGTTTTTCATTCACAGAAAGCATCAGGAAGATTATYGAAAAATCATCTATAAAGTTTGTTTGTAGCGTTAAACTCGACTCCAAAAATGGTAAAACTGAGGACAGAATTCTGGTAAGTTGCTTTTTTTTCTTGTCTTTAGTGTTAGCTGTGCTGACTTAGTGGCCCTTCCTTTAATTTTGTTTTTTGACAACAAAGAGCAAAACCCTGCTACTGTATCAGACTGTCAAAGCAGCTGGCCTGGTGGACTCCACACTTGTCTGGCCTCTGCAGAGTAGTAAGAGGTAAATGGTAAATGGACTGCACTTTTATAGCGACTTTCTATCCAACCAGTTACAATCTGTGCCCTCATTTACCCATTCACTACAAAGACAATACAGTTAAATTAATCTATAGAGACTAATCAATGCTTTAAATCACATTCATGCACTGACGGGACACACATCAGAGGCTGTGGGGGTTCATTATCTTGCCCAGGGACACTTCAACAYGTGACAGAATAGTGAGGAATCGAACTGCCATCTCTCGCATTAGAGGAACAACTCCTCTAAACATTCTGCCACAGACGCCCTATGTAAATGTCAATAAGAGGTAAATGGYGAAGATACAGATCCCAACCAAGCAAAACCAGGTGGGAACAGTATCTACAGTCCCACAATCACTATAAAAGTGTTTTAATGGAATGTAAGAGACTTTCTTGGGCAAAGAACACAGAACTCTAACTGCTGGTAACTAATGACCTGGTTGATTGTATTGCACTGTTTGTTGTTAATTGCACATCTGGTACTTTTTAGTATTTATTTATTCTGTTTTTACACTATTTATATATATTTTTATTTTGGTGCTATTTGGGCAATATAATTTCCYTGCGGGGATCAATACAACCATTTTGTTTTGTGAATATGTTAAAGGGTCTAGTGCCTCTTCTTAGCTTTACAAGCTTCTCAGAAAGGATCCAGTCAACCAACTATCCTTCATTATACCGCCAGAAAGATCACCAGTCACAGTGTGCTTCAGCATCTCCTCCAGGTACACTTACCTGAGGCAGAAGAGACTTCACAGCCTGACATATTTGCTAACTCAAATCCAACAGAGGATGACTGGAGCAGAGTTGCAAGTATAATTACTAAAGGCAACGTAAAATGGGCAATTAATATGTTTGACACATTTAAAGCTTGTGGTCCAGATGGTATTTTCCCAGCACTTCTTCAAAAGAGGACTGGAGTTGCTTCTGGACACAATAACTAGAATATACTGTATGTTGCTTGTCTTGCAAACGGCTATGTACCAGTTGGGTGGAGGACAGCAAAGCTTGTCTTTCTGCCCAAACCTGACAAGCCAACATATAGAGAAGCAAAATCTTTCAGACCATTCAGCTTAACATTTTTCTTGCTGAGTGTAATGGAGAAGTTAATAGTTAAGTCTTAAACAACATGCATATCAGGTCTTTCTACAGAAACAGCCTTACATGATGTTATTTTGCGAATAGAACACAGTCTGGCACATGGACAATATGTGCTTGACTGCATTCTGAACATACAGGGAGCGTTTGACAATGTACCTGTAGAAGCTATTGAGAGAGCACTTACCAGCAAACGTGTGGATGAGACAATAATCTCGCCCCTGTGTTGGCTCCTGGTTGTTGACAGCCTACTAAATGAGTTGAATATATCTATACTCATTGACTAGCCAACCCATTCTCACTCTCAAGYCATCACATATTGACGCTTGGTCAGGTTCCCTCTGTGTCCGGTTTTGACGCTTCGAGTACCCACCTCACGTCAGTTATTGACGAGATGGGGCGGAATCCGTTGTCATAATTTCAGAAACTGTAGAAAATGCACAAAAACTAATTGTCCCAAACCCTAGACATCTAGACATCCTGTCCCTGATCCTAGTACCTAAAATTAACTATCATCCCTGATCCCTAAAGCTAACCATTTTTAGAAAGTGTAGGAAATACACATCAACTACGTGTCCCAAACCCTAAAACTACCTAATATTCACCCAAGACAACCTATCCCTGACCCCACTACCTAAAATTAACCATGAACCCTGATCCCTAATATTAACCATGGACCCCAGCTAAAAGACCCCCATATTCAGCATGCCTGGTGCGTCAATAACTGATGCGAAGGGGTTACCCGATGCGTCAAAATAAGAAGCAGCGGGAACCTGCACTCTGGTTCTGTCCACCTGTTCAGAGGTTCTGGGGCAGGGTTTGTGAAGACTTGTCGAAATGTCTGAAATACAATATTCCACTCTCTCTGTCTGTTTGCTTATTGGCTATTTTAGATTATATCACCTCAGAGAAAAACAAATCACATGATTTTCGCTGCCTTATGTATTGCAAAGAAAACCATATTCTTGAATTGGAAAAATAAAAATGCTATTAGTATTAGCCAGTATAGAAATCACTTATTAGATCACATTAGTCTTGAAACAGCCACTGCTGCACGATCGGATCTATCTTTCTCTGCTCCTTTGATCGGCTTAATCACATAGTGGGGGTTGGGGTCCTTGGACCGGGCCTTGTGGGGCAGTAGAACGTAATGTTATGCATATAACTACTGTTCCCTGAAGGAAAGGAACGAGGTACAACATATGTATGGGAACCACGCCCCTGCGTGTCCA